TCGTCTTTTTGGTGAATGTTTTTTCCCCTACAGCAAAAGGGTGTCAGAATCACTATCAGAGCTAGACCACCAAAAGGATCTTGTTTGGGGACCATGTTCAAGAAAGAAAAAATGTATATAAAATACTGAATTTTGAAAAAAAATAAAATTGGCGAGACCCTTGCTTAGTACTTACATTTTTACTATGAGTAATAGTGTAAAAACTTTATACCCTTTTCTTTACAAGACCTTTATGCTTCAGCGGATTTTGAAACTTGGCATGACCTTTAAATTCAAGCCATTGAATATAGAAGTGGCTTAAGAAAAGCTGCTATGTGAAAAGACTACTATTTCTTATTTTTATTGTTCTTCCTGATCATGTATGCATGAATCAGCAGAGCATCCCATAATTCACCTTATATTATTGGTAGCAGTATAGATGCTATCAATGTTTGCTTTGGGCACACATGGTTAAGACAAAATTTTGTCAGTAGCCAGTACATTTCCCGGAGCAAACTGGTCCAAGTGTGCAACAAGGTTGGTTTTAGAAAATATTTAGAGGAAGCTTACTGCTAGCTTGTCTTATCTTACTTTTTTCTTTTATTCTATTTAAATATCCATAACAAGATGTAACGAGTACTAGGGTAGCCTTATTCAAATTATAGATCGATCAAGATTGTTAATCTTATTGCTTGTTTCACCCCTAAATTACCATTCTCACAGTTACAACTTACGACTCATTAAAATACCTTATTTAATGAAATACCTGGGCACAGGTTACCACTGCTCTTTCACATGCTGGCCTGGAATCTTCTAATCTCATTGTTGGCATTGATTTTACAAAGAGCAACGAGTGGACAGGTTTTATCTTACTCACATATTGATGCTTGGATTTCTTGTAAGTTGTGGTACTAAATTTGCATAATTCACTTTGAAACCAGGGAAGAGGTCATTCAACCGAAAAAGTTTACATCATATAGGAAGCGATCATAATCCTTATGAACAAGCAATCTCAATTATTGGGAAAACTATAAGTGCTTTTGACGAGGACAACTTGATTCCTTGTTTTGGATTTGGAGATGGTAATTCCAGATATAAATCTTCGTGCCTTTCAAATTGTTATGTTTCCAAATTGCCAACTTGATTGTGTTTCTTTCTTGTCTTTTTTCCCCTGTCAGCATCAACACATGATCAAGATGTCTTTAGTTTCCATTCTGATGAAAGGTTCTGCAATGGATTTGAGGAAGTTTTATTAAGATATAGAGATATTGTTCCTAGCCTGCGTCTGGCAGGTGTTGCTTTCACCAATGATCTTAGATAGCATTTTTGAATTAGGCTCAGCATAACTCATTGCATTTATGTGACAGGACCCACTTCATTTGCCCCTATTATTGAGATGGCCATGACTATAGTTGAGCAAAGTGGCGGCCAGTATCATGTCTTGCTAATAATTGCTGATGGACAGGTACTTTTAATACATTAGTTCTTACCATTGAAAAGAACATTTTTTTTAACTAGTTTAAATATGCACCAGTTATCAATTGTTTCATTGGCAGTTATCACGCTAACTTTGAGAATATGACTCTAAAGTATCATAGGTTAAAAAAAAATACTAAAATGATTTAGTAGTTTCATGACAGCTATTTTTTGTTTGGCTTCTGTTGTTGTAGATAATTATAATATCTACCTTTGACAAGTAAACATCTAGGCATTGATATCTGCAGAATACAGTATTTTGCTACAATTAATTGGTTAATTACATGAATACAGCTGAACTAAAGATGAACTTGAATAGACAGTCCTGTGGTGACACGCATCATTCAACAAACAGTTATACCTAGGAGGCTTTAGAAAAGTGGATTTCCTTATTTATTTATCAATTTGTGCTGAACCTTTAATAAATATATTGTTGGTGTTTGGAGCTTCAAGCAATTTCATTTGTCACAACAAAAATTATCTAGCATGGTCAATGTTCATTTGGTACGAAATGCCCTAAGTTTGTCAAGCTTCAATAAATGATTAATCTTTTACTGTAGGTATTCCTTTTTATGCTTCGATGTATAAGATCTAAAAAATGGATACTTAAAATTTTGCCACAGGTGACTAGGAGCGTTGACACAGAACATGGCCAGTTAAGTCCACAGGAAAAGAAGACAATTGATGCAATTGTAAAAGCCAGGTAAATTTTGTTGTTTTCTTTCCTCTGCAATGCCGCCCTACATTCTTATACTCCTTTATAATTGCAGCGAGTATCCACTTTCAATAGTTTTGGTCGGGGTTGGAGATGGACCGTGGGATATGATGAGGGAATTTGATGATAACATTCCAGCTCGAGCATTTGACAATTTTCAGGTTTGGTTTAATTCACTTGGCCATATTGACTTGCCACATTTACAATTCCTATTATGCTGAAATGTGAATATTTTATTTTCTGCTGCGTGTAGTTTGTGAATTTCACCGAAATTATGTCAAGGAGTATACATTCAAGCAGAAAGGAGACAGAGTTTGCTCTAGCAGCTTTGATGGAGATACCTTCTCAATATAAGGCAACCATAGATCTTGGCATATTGGGGTAATAAATGAATATTATATATAGAAAAACCTGGTACTTATAGTTATAGCCTATTATAGAAGTTCTTATAAGGTAATAAGTAATAACTAAATTTGCATCATGTCTTCATCGATGAATGTAGTGCACGGAATGGACATTCACCAGACAGGGTTCCTCTACCTCCACCTCATTATGAGAGGGCTTCTGCTAGCAGCAGCACAACATCTTTTCGTTCAAACAGTTTTCAGCAGAGTACACGTACATATTCTGTCAACGATGATGTTAACGCAGAATCATCTTCAATTGGCTTATATGATAACAAGGTATTTAGACCATTATTTTCAACTTAAGATGTGACTTTTAGTTTCATATAACTCTGAGGCATGACATGATCATCATGAATCATGATTTATGATGTTTCAACAAGTCAACAATGGTTTACATATGACACGGTTGACTGCAGATTTGTCCTATTTGTCTTACTAATGGGAAGGATATGGCCTTTGGTTGCGGGCATCAGGTAACGTGTTTATTTATATGCTACCCATTCATCTTTAATCTAAGACTGGGACATTATATTAACTTTTCTTCCCATTGCTATATCCTCAAACGTGGCAGACTTGTTGCGACTGTGGAGAAACCCTCGAATCATGTCCCATTTGCCGAAGCACAATCAATACCAGAATAAAGCTTTACTAGTTAACCTTGCTTCAGACCTGCTTTCAGTGGCAATTGCATGCATGCAGAAGAAGGTTATATACGTTTGACAATGTCATAAATTGAGTGCCTAATTGATCCAATAAATCAAAAACTAACTTGATACATCATATGCAGGGTAGCAAAGAGAGGAGCATGGTTGCCTGAATCATGATAGATACGTTTTTTGCCTCGTATTGTACACAAAACTGCATTTCGCAATTTTGAACAAAGTTAAATCATTATGCCAGGGTAGGAAGAATTGTGAATGCACGTTGCCTCACTGTACATATGAAGCTTGTGCATCTCGTAGGTTTCATGTTTTGAGTAAGCTGCTTGAAAAAAAAATTCTTAGGATTTTTTTAAGTATATATACTGTTTTAGTTTTCTCTTCATGTACAATGATACATGTATTGGTTGTACTGGAGCATGAGAAACTAAACCTGCGTATTTTGATTAGATTTTATATGGTTAGTAATGCTTTTAGTTTACCCTTTCGCACTTCTAATTTCGTGTTAAGTGTTTCTTTTTTCTTATTAATCTAATTTCCTTGTCAATTTCTTAACTTTTTTATTAGTTTGTTTATTGTAAATATATACTTTCCCATCAAGGGACTCATTTTTGTCTATTCATTATCGAATTATTTTGAATTTTTAAAATTTCAAACACCAACCAAAGAAAAGTCAGGAAGAAAGAGGCGCAATCGTGCAAAGACGAGCACAAAATAAGATTGTAGTAAGCAATAGCCACAGGTACCAAAATAAGAAGCAATAGCCACAGGTACCAAAATAAGAAGCAATAGCCAGTTTTTTCCACTGCCTTGCATTGTAAGTGTTAATGTGTTCACCGCAATTCAAGTCTGAACTTTGTCTTATTTCCTTTTTTGGTCGAAGAGGAACTATATATAGAGTGCACGCACGATACAAATTAATTTGCCATCTTCTGAAAGAATGTTGCCTAAGGTTGCGTGATATCACCTACCTAATTATTACTTAACACCACGTTTAAGTTCAAGTGTTTATTTAACTTCAAACTAGCAAACTGGATGGAGTCACGGTACGTCTACACTACAACGCGTAATGCATTAAGGATAATCATAAACACATTCATTTGTTTTCCATCTCACTTTCACACGTTTTCTTTATATTTGTTTTTTCTTTATCATTACATCACTTATCACTTTTTCTTAAATATTTTTGCTATTTTTCTTTTCCTTTACCTGAATCTATCTCACCAAAATGAAATTGGATGTTAATCTTTTTCCATGCATTTATGATGCTAATTAATGCAATACTATACGTAGGTGTCACTCAATCACTTTACTTTAGCCAAACTGTTTTCTTAACAGAAAAAATCATGACAGATAGTTTGATTTTACAAGTAACAAGTTAAATTAACCAACAATTATTTTACTTTTGCATCTATGTCATAATAATGTTAAGAAGCAACACTTAACCAAGAGAGAGAGAAAAGTATATATAAGAAACAATCAACCACATTTTACTAAAATTTAATAAGATGCTAATAAAGTTTGAGAGGAAAGTTTCTTTTTTAAATAAAAGTGGCAAGATGGAAAGTCGTCTTCGATACTAGGACCAAGATGTTATATGACATATTGGAATTATCAGTAGAAATTTATCTAGAGAAAGTATACACCTTAACCTTAAATAATGTCACCGAATTATGATTACTCAACATAATTTTTAAATGTTAAGAGATCTTGTGAGACTTTTAACTACTTGTATCAACTTGTACTAACATGAGAAAAAAGTTTGTGTTATATCATTAGAGTCACTAGTGTGAATAAAGAAGTCTTATATTGAAAAAAAATAATTAAGTTGACAACATATAACTAATAAAGACTCACACAATCTAATGTTATAAGACTGAATTTAAATAAAATTTGGAAAAGAACTTATAAAAATTTCAATGCACAAAATAAAGAAACAATTTTTTTCTTTCAAAGGAAAAATACTTTTGAGTTCTAGCAACTAAAGTCCAAACATATACTGAGGTTTTGAGTTAGAGATATAATATTAAACTAGTATTTTAGTATGTACAATGTACAAGTTAAGTATTTATTATATATAACTAAATTTAAAATAAATTATGTATATAAATAAATATTAATTTTGAATATATAAGTTATATATAAAATTTGAATAAATAGATTTTTAAAATTTATAAATTATATTTTAGATTTATGATAAATGATTTATATTGTATCATAATATTATTTTTATTTATTGATAATTTATTTTAAAATATTAAAATTTAGTTTATGAATAGTTATAATAAAAAAAATTGAATTAGATATGAAGTCAAAAGAATCACTTAAAATGCTCTTGTGGAAAAAAAAATCCTAAAATGTTTTCACATAAAATAATTACTTGTATTTTATATATAAAAATTAATTTACTTGTATGATTTCTTTGTGTCTTAAATATTGGAGATGTTTTTTTTTTTTTTTTGATGTGGAGATGCAAAAGTTATCACCTGAAGATATAAATATTCATTGAACTAATGTATTATAAAATTCTCGATCAACAATCAATCATCAAATTAATATAATTATTTATTATAAAATGTATAACACAAGAAGTAATTTAAAATTACTTAAATAAGCAGAAGATATTATTTGATTCATTGAGTATCGCTCAATAATTTATTTTTTTTTATCTCTATTTCACAATATCCGATTTTTGTGTAGTCTTTATGAGGCAATCACATTGATAAATAAAAGAAATAAATACCTTTAATCAATATGAGATCACTTACTCATCATAAAAGATTCTTAATTATGAGAATATTCATAATAATATTTTTTTATTTCATTCAAACTATTATTTTAGCAAAGAATCCCTTGGTGTAAAAATAAAATAAAAATGATAGTATATTTTGAATAGTTTTTTGTTTCATTTTATCACGTACAATTATTATTTTAATCATTCATGTAACATGACATGTGACATTTATGAGATTCTTAATGTTACACTTAGCATACTATGTCACACGTTAATTGAAGTTGTTAATGTCTAGTGGCGAAGGAGACCAAAATCACTAATGAAAAGAAAGAGCGGAGATTAATTTGCTATTTTTTTATATGTTGAACTACTACGAAAGTGCCTAAGAAAGTGAAAAACCAAGGTACATTTAATATAATCTAAACTCTATACATGGCAGAAAAAGTCTAGAGCACTCTTGTAAGGCGGAGAAAAAGATGGCTTTGAAATCAGTATGTTACTTAATGATGATTGGTGAGGAGGACATAAATATAATACAATACTCAAAGCAACAAGTCGCTTAAACTCAAAAAATAAAATTTCCACATTCCTGGATATATAAATTGGCATGTTCCGGCGTTCATAAAATGTCACTAACACAACATGGGTAGTCGTAGGTGGTCCTGCACGTTGGTTTTCAATCTTCTCCTTCTCTCGGGAGCCATATTTGAAGTTAAGCCCGTGTCTGTGACGGGCCTTCCACTTCACACGGAATCTCGATGGATCGTGAACGAAGATGGGCAGAGGGTGAAGCTCGCGTGTGTGAATTGGGTTTCCCATTTGGAAGTTGTGGTGGCCGAGGGGCTCAGCAAGCAGCCCGTGGACGTCATTTCCAGCGGAATAAAGTCCATGGGCTTCAACTGTGTCAGGCTCACTTGGCCCATTCTTTTGCTCACCAATGACTCTCTCGCTTCTCTCACCGTTAGACGCTCCTTTCAGAACCTTGCTCTTCTTCAATCCATTGCGGGTCTCCAAGCCAACAACCCCTCCATCGTTGATCTTACCCTCATCCAAGCTTTTCAGGTGACTTTTTTTATTAATTATACAATTCAATTGCCTTATTAGCCTAACCACTTCGTTGACTAGTTTCAATTATCTCATCATCCTTATCTTCTTAGCTATTAGCTTTATCACTTGATACTGATGTGTTTGATGAACCTTATTTGATGCCACTTGACTTACGGTGGTTACTGATATTTTGGTATCTCCAGCCAACTTCCTTAGTAATTGCCATTTATGTCGCAATAAAATTTCTTTACAAATTAGTCTTTTGATATTTCATCTCAAATGTTCAATTTGGTCCCCACCTTTTAAAGAAGTGTAATATAGTTATTTATATTTAATTTAGATTAATGACATTAATTTCTTTATATATATATGACACAATAAAAAAATGACATTTGTCGTGTAAAAAAAACAACATTGTTGATCTAATGTCATATGTTTTTTGTATAATCAAGTGTGCTTTTACTTTTTAACATAAGGGATATATTAATTTTAATTGAATACATAAAATTCTCGGGTCCACGTCGAGCATGATAAAATATTTACAAATTGATCAATAAATCACTTTTTAAATTAAAATTTTATTATGAAGATTATTAATTTGTGTCTTTTTATGTTTCACGATTTCTTAGTGGGTATTTTTAAGAGAAGAGTATTGTGTCAACGTAGTGTATGAGTTTTTTCAAGTTTGAGTTACGTGTGGGCATCATTTTTGTGACTACTCTAGGCAGTGGTGAAAAGTCTCGGGGACAACGATGTGATGGTTATATTGGACAACCACATAACTCAGCCAGGGTGGTGCTGCAGTAATTCCGACGGCAATGGGTTCTTCGGCGACAAATTCTTCGACCCAAACCTCTGGATATCGGGCCTCACCAAGATGGCCACACTTTTTAATGGAGTCACAAATGTGGTGGGTATGAGCTTAAGGAACGAGCTCCGAGGGCCCAAACAGAATGTCAATGATTGGTACAAGTAAGTGGTAACAATTACAACACCACCTACCTAGGTTGTTATTTGTCCAAATGAAATTTCTTGGCATAGTCCCGGTTTGTATAATATTTGAGTATCATGTCATTAACAAGATTGGAGTAAAATATTTTTTTACATGTTGGACATTTTTCTTCATTAACAATATTGAGAAATCACATCTATTATAATTTATAAGGAGTGATTGAGTCTATTTTAATTTTACAAAATCAACTTGGATAATACTATAATTTGACTATATCTCTAGTCAGATCTCTAATACCAACTGATATTTTGTTGTTTCAATATTAAAGGTACATGGTGAAAGGAGCAGAAGCTGTTCATGAAGCAAATCCAGATGTTCTTGTCATTCTATCTGGCCTATCTTTTGACAAGGACTTATCTTTCATTCAAAAAAAACCAGTGAACCTCACATTTAAGGGGAAATTAGTGTTTGAGGCACACTGGTATGGGTTTAGTGATGGTCAAGCTTGGGTTAATGGAAACCCAAACCAAGTATGTGGACAAGTAGCAGGAAATATGATGAGAACCTCTGGCTTCTTGGTGAACCAAGATTGGCCATTGTTTATTAGTGAGTTTGGTGTAGACTTGAGAGGTACAAACATTAACGACAACCGCTACCTTAACTGCTTCATGGCAGTGGCAGCTGAACTTGACTTGGATTGGGCCTTGTGGACACTCGTTGGTAGCTACTACTTTAGAGAAGGAGTTATCGGAATGGAAGAGTTTTATGGGATTCTTAGTTCGGACTGGACCCAAGTTAGAAACACCACTTTCTTAAACAGAATCTCTGTCCTCCAACTTCCATTTCGGGGTATGTTCATAACCACTTTTGCTTTTGTGCTTTTGCCACCATTGATATATATGTTATTTAAGATAAACTAAATTGCCAATATATTTAGTGTATGAAGTTGTTTCAGGTTAAAGTATATTGCCTTCAAATCCTTAGTAGGTAGTTGGGACTTATGTTAAATATTTAAATGGAGAATTTTGCTATTTTTAGTGATCATACCTAATTCAAATAAAATAGCATTTTAGAGGATTCATGTGATGTGATCAACATATATCAAAAGAAATCTATACTATCAATTTAGCACTTAATGAAAACTTTAACTATGTGTCTTTGACAACATGCAGGTCCAGGCATAACAAAAGGAAATCCATACAAATTGATTTTCCATCCTTTGACGGGTTTGTGTGTCATGAGAAACTTAATATTAGATCCATTGACATTGGGTCCTTGCTATTTAGCCGATGGCTGGAAATACACTCCCCAGAAGATTCTATCAATAAAGGGTACTTACTTTTGCATCCAAGCAAAGAATGAAGGAATGCCTGCAACGCTTGGGATAGTATGTTCAGATTCTAACTCTAAATGGGAAATGATTTCAGATTCAAAGTTGCACCTTTCATCCAATCTAAGCGATGGTTCTAATGTATGTCTAGATGTAGATGACAACAATTTCATTGTGACCAATGCTTGTAAATGCTTGAGCAGAGATCGTTCATGTGACCCTGGTAGCCAATGGTTCAAAATTATTGATAGTGGAAAGAGGTCAATCTCATCAACCTCAACATTATCCATGCCATTGGACCTTTTATGGAAACCACTAAGCTTAACATAAGTTGTTATAGTAATATTATTGTAAATTTCTCGAACCATGTGTTGTCTTATTCGTCAGAATTGTCACCACTTATATTTTAGTAGTGGGAAATAATGCATCAAGTATATCCACATGAATATTGAATTCAACTCATTATATTACCCTTAAAAATGGTACAAAATTTACTAACGATGGCTGGGATTTTAGGCTCAACAAAATCAATATAGAATTACGTTAAACAAGAATTACATATCACATGTATTTTTATATATGCATACATAAATAAATTTTTTTATTAAGCTACTTATTAAAGTTAAAAAGCATTTGATAAAATTTTAAAATTCATAATAGTAATTATTTTAAAAATTTGAGTTAAAAGAATTTGTATTTTTCTTTCTTTAAATTAATTAGGTGGGGAGATAGTTAACAGAAAATAATGATACAAATAGTTGTAAAGTGTATTTATTTTGTGTTTGTTTACTATATGTACAGTATATACCATCTTGAGAGAGAATTGGTTTTGCACAAGCTTTCAAAGCTATGATTTTAGAAATAAGAGTTAAAAGCTTTTATGCGTAAGATGATATATATATATATATATATAATCATATTCGCTTAATAACTATGGAGTAAAAATATTGACTACACTTTTTTAATTGTTTTCCTAACGGTTGTCATATATTTTAGGGGGGCTCAATCTACTGAAGCTACTTTGTACAATTTAACTTGAAGTTAATCTAGAAAGATTTTAAGTGTATCTTATTTTCTTTATCATTTTATAATTATATAGGAGCACTTTATATTGAGAATGGCTGCAAATAATAAACAGTTTAAAAAAGCAAAAAAGTGTTAGATAAGAAACACTTGGCAGTTGGCAAGCACAGACAGGAAAAGATATACACTCCAAACAGTATATTGTAAGAAATAATTGAATGAACACTATGAGAAGGGAATCCATGGAAAAGAGATGACAAAAGAAGAGTACACAGAAAACAAACAAGCTACCCACATGAATAAATAAATAAATAATGGTATGTCATGAATCATGATCCTAAACATACATATATACATATATATTGGTTTGTTCTGGCGTGCCGAACGAATGTGGAATATGATATACAATGGGTAGGTGGTCGTTCACGTTGGGTTTCACATCTCTCTCTCTCTCTCTCTCTCTCTCTCTCTCTCTCTCTCTCTCTCTCTCTCTCTCTCTCTCTCTCTCTCTCTCTCTCTCTCTCTCTC